CACCAGAGCCACCTCTTGTTCAGTGGGCATTAATTATTTATTATTGTTTAAGTTTATTCTCCATTTCCCATCCCTTACTACAGGGTGAACGTACATTCAGCTGTCGAGTAACAAATTAGGTCGAAATATGTATCCTAGATTTCACTGTTAGCCACCAACATCATCAACCAAAATAGCATGATATGAGAAGGGCGATATGTCTACAAAATTAATACAAAAAAACACGAACTAAAATATATCTCAGTAATTAAATTCTGTTTTGAAGATTGAAAACAGACATGCTGTTAATATAATGAACATGCAACGTTTTTGTCAGATTATGAATTGATCTGTTTTGCTTCACTTTGGGTATGAATTGTATTCACTAAGGGGTTGGGTTGGAATTAGAAATTCATAAATTACTAGTTGACCTTAAACTTTTCATTAGACTGAATAAGCAATTCAAACAGTTCAAACCAAGTTCAGTGGTTTTTGGGCATATATGAACAACTTTGTTTGAAATATAATCTCTGCTTCCCCTACCCCCGGGGATCCATTAGCTCTAGTTTGTGAATTTCGATAACAAGGCACGAAACAACACCTGGTGTATAGTTAAGTTAAGACAAGCGTTCAACATCCCATTCATCATTCACGTTTGTGCGTACTGTGTGTGTGTGGCTGTGTATATTTCATAAGATTAAGAGACAATTCTAAGCCCACACTTTAAATGTGACACTATAATAAAACCTACATGAAAAAAATTTTCTGCGTGTCTTCTTTTAGCTTTTCTAACCCCTGGTTTGCTTTTTAATCACCACTTTTTATTGTTGTTTGAATTTCACCTCAGGAGAGAATATGATGGCCTCTGTATGGGGATACAACTATCACATCTAATATTACTAGGTCACATGATAATCTTGAAAGTTGAAAGACAACAAATGACCCACCCATTCAGATCATGTGATGACTATGCGAGCAATTGATTATTTATGATGAATGCCTACAAAGCATTTGTTTCTTTGTTTATACAATCCATTGTTTTTAAGTAAGATATGTGGGTGTCTGTATGATCGAGACAGATGGGAGTTGAGTTCAAAAGCTACGCTGTGAAAATTTTACTTATATAAACAAAAGTGGATATTGAAGCAAATCAAAAATTTTCGTTAAAAGAGAAATGGTAAATGCTACAGTTAGCTTATGCTAGCTAGCTATCAATGGACTGATTAGAAGACCAATTTCGATGACTGTCAATAGGCGAACAGAGAACAACAAAATCAAATTAGGTTACGGAACAGAAATAACCTAGTTTAGCGTAATAAACAGCATAAAAGTAACTAGGAGGAAGATATTGGAAATCGAGAGAGAAATAGGACACTGAAAATGGCAACTGATTGGGGTTGGAGAGGAGATATAATACTGAAACTAAGGTGAAAAATAAATGTAATGGAAAGGAAGTACATCGGCGTCATTGAGATTCACTGTCGGACCTCAGTTACTAACTACAATGATGAAGTTATTCAAACATTTCTATGTAATTCGTATCAATAATCAGGTTTCATGAATTGGCCCAATCTCGCCTAGTCGTCTGTTTTCGACATAGAACTTTGCACCGATGTGCGACAGTTCAAGTCGCCATACTCCCTCCTTGTAGAACACAAACCAACAGAAGAAAGTAGAAGAAATGCATAATAGAGACAGTAAACAGAGGTGTGAGATAAAGGAGTAGTAATAACGAAGAACAATACAGTTTCATTGGAAATCATAAGTCACAAGGAGTGGATGCATCTGTGCTAGCCACTGAGAACGATTTTGAACCATGTCACCAATTGTTTCCAACCATTGGTTTTTACCGTCCCGAGGACCCCAAACAGCCAGGAAGTTTACACCTTCCTACGTGGCTTAGACTAACTGTTTTAGATTTTATTGACTGGTTCCATGTTTTGGTTTGACCGCCGCTAGCTCTTTTCCAGCCTGACCCTATGTCAGCTAACATTTTCCGTCGAGGAAAGCGATGACTAGGCATGCATCCGTAACACATGTCCTAACCATCTCAGTCGATGTAGCTTAACAGCCTCGTCGATTGATTTCCCCTCTCTACATAGTACTCGACGCCTAACCTGAATATTACTCACCTTATTATACCACTTCACACGGGAGATAGAGCGCAGGCACCTGTGATCAAAGACAGCTAATCTTTTCATGTCTTCCACTCTCAGTGGCCAGGTCTCACAGCCATGAAGGAGGACGGAGCGGACTTCTGAGCAGTACACCCGCCCTTTGGTTGATAGTCTACACCAGAAACGGCGTAAACTGGCATATGCGAAACTAGCCCTCTGTATCCGTGCTCATTTAGACCTACCAAAGAATCTTTATAGTTTCTGGTCTTTGGCGATCGTGTCATTAACGGTACTCCGGATATCTCACCTGATGCAACTATGATTCAAGTTGGCGAACGCCAAATAAGCCTATCATAGCCTGGTTAGCTACTCAACTCAATCATACAAGTAGGCTGTATCTCTAAACTACAATGAAAACAACGAGCCATTATAGGAGAGGATCAGATCAACAATTTTAGTACTTCTGATCAGAATTAGCGGCCACAGAATGGGGGTATTTTACGCTAATTCGTTTTAGAAATGGAAAGTTGTGATTAAGTAAGTCAAGATTATTGTTAAATTAGATAAGTATATGATGCTATGTTAGTCGCTGACTTCAGAAAAATTGTTTTGTTGGCATAACTGTTGATCAGTTGACTAGCCGATTAGCTTAATTTGAATCTGATATGTGAACACGGTTTGCTAAAAAGATGGTCAATCACTCCATAGTCATACAATAACCCCCAGGAAGGCTTTCCATTAAGGAAAGATATTTCCGTTAGCCTTCTACGTAAGGAAGCTAAGACAACCTGATATTACTCAGCCTCTACTTCTACAGTTTGTTAGTTCTTGTATTCCACACCTTCTTCTTCATTGATTCCCCTAGAATACTTAAGAAAGACTTTTCTACATTGTTGATGGCACCAATAGCTGGTGGTAAGGAGAGTGGGGTACCACTCAACCAACTTTTTAATATCTGTTGTGGATAGGCACTTCAGTTCATGCAAGAAGTAGGCGAGTCACTATGTTGGATTTTGAGCATCGCCTTTATACATAACTCTCTCCACAGCATCTAGTCATATAGGAGTAAGAGTGATTCTACAAAACTTTTTGCTTAGACGACTAGTGATAAGAACTCAACGATGCTTTATGTGTCACGCACTTTATATGGTAAGATAAGTGTTGGGCATGAAATTACTAACTTAGGGCAAAACACTGAGTAGTGTTTTTACTATCAGATGAATATATAACTGCTTTAGGATTCTTTTCAGTTCACGGGATAACGTGACTTCGATTTGGATTATTGGTTTTATTAAGTTTACCATTTTATCATACAGCTTGCTAGCTAATGGCTGACGTAAACACTTTTAATGCCTTAGTTATTTAAATGTTAAGTACTAATATGACATACAACAGACTTCAAAGAAATCATTGTCAATTTCTACAAAAGATCGCACTGACAAAAAACCCAGAGCGATTGTCCTTGAATTTCTAGGTTATTTCAGATAAAGGGGCATGTGGCTTTGATCGGATGTCAGCTGACGTTCTGAATGGTGAGACTGACAAATTAACCAATCAAAATCCACCATCGAAGGGTCATTTCAGTACATGTTATTTTAGGACAAGGTTAAATATGACATTGTATTTTGATTGGTTAAAATAGACAAACGAAAGGCTGATACTACCAGCTTTTTAACTTGCCTGAAAACTATCTTTCTAGGTAGAAAGTAGCGATCATTTCTAAATCTTTAGACTCTTTTTAGCGAAAACTGAGAACTTTAGGTTATATGACAAAGAGTAACTGGTCTTTGTTTTCGTTCCCTTAGCCACTTAGTAACTATTACTATTCAAAAGCAAATACTCTCCACACCTGAAAGGGTATTATTTGTTATTTATTTTATTGGATAATAAGATGGTGAATATAAATTGTGCAATTAGTCATAATAATAAAAATAATAATAATAATAATAATAATAATGATTTTATCATAATAAGGTTGAAAAAGTGAGGCGATCTGCGGTAATACGAATAACGAAAAACAGCATGATTAAACAAACAAATGTTGAGGTAGAAGTAGTCGATAAAGGCTAAGAAGTATAAATGGACCGATTAAGTAATGCCAGATTGTAAGGGAAGTAAATGAGACACGTTTTTAATGAAGATTTGATAAGATTAAGGGATGATAAGAGAGGCGTCGAAAATATAAACAAGGAGTGGTGTAGAAGTCATTAGTTGGTTATGTCACAATATTTTATTCCTTTGCGTTTGGAGTAGAACATCAGGCTTCAAGCATGAGTTTTGAAGTTTCCTTAGCAGTGGTGTTTTTTTAACGGTGTGGGGTTGTTAGCCTCACACCCAGCCTTCCCCTTTTCTGGTGCTCACAACCGGCTAGGAGAGGTACAGGTGTGCTCCGGCCGGGGATCGCACTCCGGACCACTTGCATGGTCGACTAGCATCTTACCGTTGAGCCACAGACTCACCTGAAACGGTTTAGTAATATAACTAATATAATCAAATCATAGATCTTAGGAAATGAGAGAAATCACGTGAACATCATGAGTTTAAGTAAGATAAATAGGTTTGGGTAAACGGGAAGAATGCATAGTCTTATTGTGGTCAGACTGGGTTCCTTTAAGGGATACAGTAGTCGGAGTATACGTACAAGTCGTTAGGTTTGCAGAATTTTGGTCAAATAGTCCAAACGAACAGGTTAAGAAAATTATGGTGGTACTAGAGGTTATGGTATTTATGTATTCATTATTTGCGTTATCTAATGGGTCACAATTAATTGATACTTACCTTCATTTCACGATGAGAAGTAATCGAATGTTGGGTTGGATAAACTTCAGTTCCTGACTGTTATTTTCAAAATTATATAAATCCCAGTAATTTTTCGATATAACAGACTCCATACTGTAGACTTACCTTTTTGACAGAAGAAGCCAACTTTCTTATTGCAAGGAAATGGTTCTAGCCATCCATTTCGAATAACTGGACAATGCGCTGGAAATTGAACATCACTGTACACCCATGCTCGAGTTACCCACGTATACTGATTTATCCAGTCATAGTTATGCTGCCATTCTGATAACTTTTTGCTTAACCAGTCGATGCGGTCTCGTGAAGCTAGAGAGAATTGGTAAATAACTGTATTACTTTAATTCCTATTAAACGGTTGCGGTTATATGATTAAGTATGAGGAATATGTGGCACTTCTTTCTCTACAAAAACGTGCAGTCCATTTATGAATAGGATGAAAGTATCTAAAGGGCAGGATATTTCAAAAACGAGAAATATTCAAGCAACTGGTGAATGATATAACTGTCATCTTAGTGCTTAGGTATAACACATAACCTGGCTAATCCTGTTTTATCGTGTTTTAAGGGAATTCATGCCTTCATTTCCTTTAAATCCACTGAAAAGTATAGAAATGTATATATTTCGAAAAGGTCTACAAAATCTATTCTCCAATAAAGTACGAAGTGGCTAGTTCCTTAGTCGCAATATGTTGCAATGAATCTTAACCAATACTTGAAAATTAATCTGTGCTCACTAGTGTCTGGCCCTATTCAGGCAGTTAACCTGGGGTTCTAGTGGGAAGCCGTGACCATTTTATGTACAGCAGGTTGAAGATGAGGCAGTAACTCATCGAAGAAGACATTACGAAGTGGTCGCGCTATGTCGTGAATTGGCAGAAGTTAGAATTCATGGACTGGCTGGCCATTGGATCGGGTCCCAGTGGCTTAATAGTATACGAGCTGGCTCGCCTTGTTACCAGAAGGTCCTGGGTTCGAATCCCGGTGGGTGCGTACTGCTGAAGAGCCCCAAAATAGGACGAAACAGCTGTCCAGTGCTCCTAGGTGGTTTTCCAATAGTTCTCTAACTGATGTCAGCTCATGATTAAATCCTCCATGCAATCAAACAAAATCCCTACAAAACCAATACTAGAAAATCTAATAATTCTCAATCAACCCTAGGTGCGAATTGAGAAGTGTTATGAATTGGCTCATAATTAACCGATTAAGTGTATACACAACCTAATTTTAATATCTGAAGACATATATACTTAATATCAGTAAAATTTTGAGCATTTTGGATTAGATCAAATAAATAATTATATTTCAATAGTTTACACACGATATACTTAGAATCTTATAACCTGACCTGATGGTTACACTTAACTTGTTAATTTAAAACACAAAGTAGTATGAATAATGTATTCATCCATAAAACATTTGAATTTTTAATGAATTGTAGTATGCTATATATTACCGTTAATTACGTTCAATTTCTTCACAATATTTCTACCAACGGTAATATACTACTAACAAGTAGTATAAAATAAATGATGGAAAATAATAAATAAAATAATTATTTTATAGCTAAAATGTCAGGAGTGCAGTGGTGATTTTCGGTTTGAAGCAGTCTAAATTTACTTCCCTGTTATTTCACTTTTAAATAATTATTTTTATGCTTTATTCTACTATGTAGTATGATTTCATGGTAAATTTTCAATCTGATTCAGTTACACAGTATCAAAATGCATGACTTGGTGTTAATACGGGGATACCTTATTGGGATTGGATGCCGGATATTAGCCAGTTTAAATAACAAATGTATAAGGTTACTCAACAGTTTGCTTATAAATGGAGTGGGAATACTTTAGATGGTGCCAGTATATTGCACCATGATAGTATTTCCGTTCTAGACAAAGGCGTGAAGTTTTTTCTCTCTGCCTTATTGGGCTATACTTCGAATTTTGCTAAGCAAAATGACTCCAGCATACATTCAGCTCTGGATCACGACAAAGTTGAACTTTAAGCACCAGTAAGTACCAACAGACAAATTAACCTGGACGTACTTGCCTCATGATGAAGTCAATTTTTGTGTATGAAATACATGTATTCTTGAAAATAATGAATTAAAAGGCTTGAAACTGTTACACAGGGTACCGTTCTCTGACGTGTGACTAAAATATCTGTCACTTTTGGATTGCAGTATCGACAGAGTAGTTTAACCGCATTCTATGCACGTAATTATCTAGATCTTCTAACTTAACACTAACGTGAATTATCTCCCAGCTTATTCTATTCCACTCCTAACCAACCCTAAAGTGTCGCTCTGATTAGGTTGACATAACCCTAACCTTTCCTTAGCCTAAGCCTTAACTGAATCTTTCCCAAACCTAACCTGAAACTTACCAGATATCCCATTTAATGACGTAGCACTTCAGTAAGCATATTTTTATTCATGATTACAACATTATCTGCCAAGTTTCACTAACGTGTTCAGTGAGCATTTCAAAGTCATCGGTGAGGTGGACCCCATTGGCCTGGATCACAAAGTAGTTGTCTTTTTATTTTACGGATGAGAAACAGTACAATGTCTTTAAGAGGAAGATCTCTGCTTCATTGCTTATTGAAGCTGGTGTGCCTCAAGGCGCCAGTGTTTCTCCATTTCTTATTCGCTCTTTTTAGTATTACTCACAGGATTCTTTTTAAAAACTAAACTTTATTAATTATACTGACAATCTGACAATTTCTGTTATAGTTTTTTCTGTAAATAAACAGTTTTCTGTCTGGCCTCAAGTTGATTCACTTTAAACATCAGGCTATTAGTTAGTTTTAGTTTCAGACGTGAACACGACTTGTGTGAACTGATTCACTCACATGATGCTTGAAATTTTGACAGCACTGTGGTAGGAAATAGATCCAATATCCAATCTTTATTCAACTTTATTCAAATCCAATATCGCCAATCTTGATATCAGTTTCTCTTCAAATCTTTATTGATCATCTCATATCTTTTTGATTTATGAGAAAGACTTTCACTTGACTTACTACGTAAGGAAGCTGAGACTTTCGGGTATAATTCAACGTCTTCTCTTACTGTTTAGTGTTTAATGCATTCTGTCCATTATTATTATTTATTCTTCTCCCTTACTCTTCCGTGAGCTTTTCAAGCAAGATTACTTTATACTGCGCTGAAATTTTTTTCCTTCACGTTCTACAGTGGAACATAGGGTTTCAAGCTAGTGGCTTGAAGTTTCTGTAGCAGTGTTTATTTTACAGGATGGGGTTCCTAGCCTCATGCCCAACCTTTCTTCTTTACCAGCATTATTTTTGGCTTACCGATGTAAAGGAGAACTTTGAATTCCATAAATAGAGTTATTGGTGTACTTTTAGCCTAACTGATATTATTATTGGCAGGCATTTTAATTATAAACTCAGCATGAAGAACAAGATTCGCATTTTCAACACCAATGTCAAGTCGATCGGTCCTTCTATACGGGTCAGAAACTTGCCCCAAAGCGTCACAAAGAGCATTCCTAACAGGTTGCAGAATTTTATCAACAGCTGCCTTCTCTGGCTCCATACTGAAGATCAAATGGTAGGTCAGAAAGAATAAGTAACAAGAACTCTGCAGTGGAACAAACCAACCAAGAGCCGATCGCCCAAAAAAAATAAGTAGGAGAAAATGCAGATGGATCGGGCATACATTGAGGAAACCGTCAAATGACATCACGCGCAATGCAAACCATTGCTCGAGTGGAATCCCAATGGGAAGCGACGAGTAGGTCGTCAGTGTAAGGATGACACAGAGGAGATTATAGGCAATCTTGGGCCCAGCTGAAGAGGACGGTAGAAGATGGGACAAAGTGGAGACGTGCTATTGAAGCAATAAGCGATTGGCTAAAGTCCTCTTGTCACGCTATGAACAACCTCTTTGTCTTCAACTTCCTCCTTGAATGTCTTCAGGTGAAACCAGAAAACAAACATTCCTTTTTAAACTGTAAAATGAACAACTACTTATTTCTAACCTCATTTCTTAGCAGGGATTGTATGAATCTGTGAGGCAACGTGAAAATACGTCTTGTTTGTGAGTAGTAATACATACAGGATAGAAGTTATTACCTTATATCATATTGATACACATCACACTGTTATGTCAGTCGAAATAATAAGAGAAAAATCCTAATCAGGATTTCATCATGAGGTGACATTAGTTAGAGAACCATTGGAAAACCAATTGATAGTACTGGACAGCTGTTTCGTCCCAGTTTAGGACCTTCACAGTACGTGACCACCACGGGGGCTCGAACCCAGGAACTTCTGGTTACAAGGCGAGCCAGCTTGTAGACCATTAAGCCACTGGGACGCGACCCAATGGCCAGCCAGTCAATGAATTCTAACTTCTGCCAATTCACGACATAGCGCGACCCCAAACCAATGTCTTCAGTGGCGAGTATCTGTCCTCACACCCAACCTGCTGCACCCTACTGGTCACGACTTCTCACTAAGTCCTAATCCATGAAGATAAGATTAATTAGTCTTATCACTTTGACAGTTACATGAATTAACCTTCGACGATCAAGTAAATCAATGAATACACTTACTTGCTAATATTCCTCCAACTTCAGAAAGACAAAAATCATGAGCTTCTTGATATGTCATTGGTGCACCGAAATAGAAGAAACAATTGAATTCATGAAAATCCCAATTAGGTGGACAATAAATTCCCTTACCAAGAATAGAACTATTATCTCGAAATGAATTCGTATAATCAACTGATATTAGATAGATATCATCATGTTGATCATAAATTCGACTTTGTGCATAAATTTGTGAAATGATCTGATCTAGTTTTTCTTCATTTTCTACTTTCATTGATTTTGTATATTGGAGTGATAGGAAACTGTTATCAGCCGAAGACGACAGTGACGGTCTTGATGATGATGGTGATGACGATGATGTATCACCCCACCAATTATACTGGGCATCAATTCTATCTGGTCTGTAGCATATACAAGCATCATATTCTAATTTTAATCTCCATCCTTGGGGACAAGATGAATAAGGTGATTCTGGACATTGTAATCCTGGTTGTATAGGCATAACACTATGAAAAACAGAAAAAAATAGGAAATCTCAATGTTGAATGCATTCATTTGTATCGGCTTTCATGATAATAAAAGTACGTATACATTACAGTGGGGAGTAAGAAGACAGGGATACATCGGACCAACAACAGAACCCCGAGTCGGACAAAAACAGATAGGCGTCTGTTATCCCGAAATCATTGTAGAGATCCATAACTGGGAAAGGATAAGTAATAGGGAAGTCCAGGAGCGAACCAAACAAGAAGCTATACGTATAGCCTAATAAAATATTCAGAAGAAAATGGAGACAGGTTGAATGTACGCTGAGAAGACCATCGAGTAACACTGCCCACCAGGCAGGCTATCGAGTGGAGTGAGAATAGGAGCCGATAAGTTGTTCATTTGAGTGTCACATGAAGGAGATCATGTCAGGAGGAAGTGAAAGCTTATAGGCAGTCATGGAGGCAGTCTGAAGTGATGACATAGAACCTAGTGCAGTGGAGAGGTACGTCTGAGACTCTACGTCTCCTTTGGATAGTAAGGAATGAATAACAACGATAAATAAAGGATTCATAAATTTGTATATTATGAGAAAGTAGTGGTTGGTTGGTGCTTAGTCAAGCTCTTCCATCTAACGAAGCAAAAAGCTGTGGGGTCACTGTTAAACATTGAATACTATCGTATGCTGTATTAGTCATAAAATACTTAAGGCTTTCATTTATAGGTATAAGTAATTCACTGAAGACATAAATATCAGTAGTTTTTACTTTACAGACAGATTTTTGTTCAGTAATAATTAATTAATTTTTCCTTCACGTTCCCAGTGGAACATAGGGGGTTTCAAGCTAAAGATCTGAAGTTTCGGTAGCAGTGGCGTTTATTTTTACAGGATGGGGTTGATAGCCTCATGCTCAACCTTTCCTCTCGACCAGCGTTATTTCTGGCCTAGTGAGGTAAAGGAGTGTGTCTGTGGCCGGGGATCGAACTCCGGACCATATGCATGGTTGGCGAGCGTCCTAACCGCTATGCTACCAACTCCAGTACCAGATGAAAAATAAATGAACATGACTGAACTCATAAAAAGTTGGTCATCGTTACTATTGTGAAAGAATAAAAACTGAGTGATGGAATCGTTTATTGGATTTTTTTAAGGAGAAGTCATACAAATTGACATCATAGAAAGATGTTCGTGATTGTTTCATCAGTTCATTTGTTTTGTTTGATAAGAGACTGAATTAACTTCACCTTTCTGTCTCAATCAATGTCTGAGATTTTTAAAACTAATAATGAATTAGTTTTAAATACAACTGCTTTCGATATTCTGATGTTTGTTAAATGTTAAGACTATCTTTCTGAAGACTAGAAATTCTATGCGAGGTGGTTTTCTTGTGTCTGTTAATAGCATGCATAATTTATTTGTAATTAAGTTATACACTACTTATAAGTAGTGTAAAAATAAAAGATGAATTCATTCATATTTTTGCAGGCATAGTGTACACATTGTACGATAGCCGCATAATGAATAGTGATTTTGAATGATTTCCGAAACAAATACTGTTAACTTTAAGATAAATTTACTTGCATTTTATTGGCAGTAATTTATTAGTGCATCATTCATCGATCTATACACAGAAGAAGTTTGTTCAACTATTCTTTCTTTTATGGTCTTAATTCATCTACATCAATTTATTTCAGTCCGTGCTTCTAACTTACCTATTGTTATTTTTAATTCCAGTGGTTTTCTAACTGGAATCACTAAAATCTCTGAAAACTGGCTTCTGAAAATCATTAATTTCACTTGGAATGGTTCTGTGGCATTATCTTTCTTGTCACTATTTATTTATTGAAATTAGTGTAATTTTGTGCAGAGTAATCTTTTCGAAATTTCCACCTTGTTACATAATGCTTAATTTATCTACTAATCTTAAAAATAATAACATAGCTTTATTATGCTTTAATACACACAATGATTTTACACAATATGTGCAATTTTTGGCGTGCAAGTAAAACAGCCATCTCCAGTACACCATGAGGTGCAATGATGTTAGATCTGACTACGACTGTATAATCGCATCTGCATACTGCTTTATCACATTGGTATGTGTTCAGTGATTTTTCGTTTAAAAAACATAGTGCAGAGAGAAGAAAATACCAATGAGGCTCGAAGGCAGTATTTATTAGGACAAACGCATTGTAGGTACATAAATTTGCTGTACCTTATCTTTAAGTCTTTATTTGCACATCATTTGCAAATTGGTCGAATATCACCACATTCGATAGCTTTTTGGTTTCTGTACAGTGTTTCTAACCTTCTTGATATGTATCCACATATATATTTATGTGTGTGTGCATGTTGGTCTCTCTTTCTGTTTGCTCGCTTAGTCTGTGACCATTTCACTTGTATGAACCTGTCTGCTTTAACAATGTATATTCCATTTATATTATATATAATATGAGTGTTTGTTGACAGTCCGTTGCTTAGTGACATATATCCATATATGGTTGTTTGACATGTCTGCTATATATATTTTGCTATATATATATTTCGTTCACACATTTTGTGTGAACTACTTTTACTTACTTACCACTTTGGTGTGAGACCATTTATTTTCGTCTCCTTGTGTTTGGACAATAGAAGTATCATCGCAAACCTAGTGGTTTTCTGATTTCCGCCTTCTCGCGTGAGGACTATTAGTTTCTCGACCAGTCCATAACAATAATTTAGCGACGAGTACATAACACTTCTTCTCACAGTTCTCTTCTTCGATTACTTTTTCCAGTGCCCCAAAGCGTATTGTCACTTTTCTGAATTCGTTTACTGATATACTAATATCTGATTATAAGTAGCACTCACTGCAATTGTAACAAACAGAGTAAATGCAAAGTTGCTAAGACTAGCAAGTACCAATAAAGATGCCATTAGAACGCAACAGAAGTATATAGTTATGAACAGAGTATGACGCAATAGGTCAAAATACCTGGTGGATGAATTGCTTTCAAAGTGAGCACAGAGACAAGAAGCAGTTGGTGTTACGTAAGAATTATCTAAGATACACTGAATAGTGATATTAGAAGACTGAAAGATGTGATGTATTTCCGCAATACATTTCGAAATATTTGACTACACATTTTTATTTGTCATGTCAATTTATATGAAAATAAATGCCAATTAAAATACACAAAGTTATAAAAAGGATCTAAAAATAATAAGAGTAATTCCTACTAATTTTGGTTACCTAATCAGTTAAGGAACCTCACCTAGATTACTAGCTCGCTAGTTTTCTAGCTGGTCCCAAGCCCGGATGAAGAGGGAGGGTTGGGGCCTGCTGCTAGCAAATCCACCCCCGTAAAACTCAACCAAATTGCTACAGAAACTGCAACATACAAATATATTAAAAATTCTAAAAATATAAACAATAGCCTTATCTTTCGTTGGAATCGGGGAAGTGAAATGACGCAGGCTGGTAAAAGCTAGCCTTCGGGAAGCCAGTCAGCCGATGTGCCTTCTTTCGATGAAAGCAAAAGTAAGGATGGGTACCTGGAATGTTCGTACAATGTACGAAACTGGAAAGGCTGCCCAGATAGCCGCTGAAATGAGAAGGTACAGAATAGAAGTGTTGGGAATCTGCGACAGCAGATGGAACGGAACTGGAAGGTGCCAACTACCAACTGGAGAGACAATAATCTATTCCGGCCAACCAGAGGACAACCACGAGCACACCGAGGGAGTGGCCATCATGATGTCACCAACAGCAGCCAAAGCTCTCATGCAGTGGGAACCAATCTCCTCCAGGATAATGACAGCCAGGTTCAACTCAAAAGGAAGGAAAGTTACAGTCATTCAATGCTATGCGCCTACAAACGTCTCAGAACAAGAGAAGAAGAAGGATTTTTACAGACAACTACAAACAATAATGGACAACGTCCCAAATGGCGATATCAAAATCCTGATGGGCGACATGAATGCGAAGCTGGGAGGAGACAACACAGGAAGAGAACTCACCATGGGTCGTGAGGCCCTCGGTGAAATGAACGACAATGGTGAACTCTTCTCAGACTTCTGCGCCTTCAATGATTTGGTGATTGGTGGCAGTGTTTTCAAACACAAGGATATACACAAGACGACATGGATTTCACCAGATGGAAACACCAAGAATCAAATAGACTTCATCTCAATTTCAAGAAAGTGGAGACGGAGCCTACTGGACACAAGGTCGAGGAGAGGAGCAGATGTGGGTTCAGACCACTATCTAGTAGAAGGGACTTTCAAGGTGAAACTAAAAGCCTCGAGGATAGCTGGGGATAGGCCACAATGCAAGTTCAACACTCAGAAACTGAAGGACACAACCACAAAAGACACCTTCACTGCAACTGTCAGAGCAAAGCAGGAAACACTACGCGACATCACTGAAGAATCATGCGTGGAAGAACATTGGAAGTCTCTGAAGGCGATTCTCAACGAAACGTGTTCAACGGTTCTAGGAAGAAAGAAGAGACAAGACAAGGAATGGCTCTCAACGGACACTTGGAAATTAATAGAAGAGAGGAGAATGGTGAAAGAGAAAATGATTCAATGCAAGGACGGACAGGAGAAGGAGACGCTGAGCTCAACTTACACAGCACTGGACAAAGAAGTGAAGAAGAGTGCTAGGAAGGACAAAAGACGATTCTACGACAACCTCGCCACTGAAGCTGAAAAGGCAGCAGGCAAAAGGGACCTGAGGACACTATATCAGATAACCAAATCTCTATCCGGGAAGAGATCAACACAAGCGAAACCTATAAAAGACAGCCAAGGGAACCCAATTACCAAGGAAGAAAAACAGATTAAACAATGGGCGGATCACTTCAAAGGACTCTTGAACCGACCACCACCTGCAACCCGTCCAGAAATACCAACAACAGCGCGTACACAACTGCAAGTTGACACCAATCCTCCAACGAAAGCTGAAGTCTTGAATGCAATCAAGCTTCTGAAAGCTGGAAAAGCAGCTGGACCAGATGGAATACCCCCTGAAGCACTGAAAGCGGACCCAGAGACTACAGCAGACATGCTGACTCCATTATTGCAAAAGGTCTGGAAGGAGGGAAAGGTGCCTACTGACTGGAGGAAAGGTTACCTCGTGAAACTACCAAAGAAGGGCGACTTAGGCCTCACTCTGCAAGAACTGGCGAGGAATCATGCTCCTATCGACGCCAAGTAAAATCCTGAGTCGCATCATCCTGGAGAGATTAAAGGACGCACTGGAGACAGAACTCCGACCAGAACAAGCTGGATTCAGGAAAGGCAAATCATGTACTGACCAAATTGCAACTCTACGCATCATCATCACAGAACAAAGCATGGAATGGCAATCAAACCTCTACCTCAACTTTATAGACTTTGAGAAGGCCTTCGACAGCGTTGACCGTGAAGTAATTTGGAAACTACTCGAGTACTACGGCGTACCCCAAATATTCATCAACCTTATTCAACAGCTGTGTGACAACGGCACATGTCAAGTGATCCACAACGGAAAACTCAGCGAGGCGTTTGGAGTAAACACAAGAGTCAGACAAGAGTGCTTATTATCACCCAATGATATTCCTAATTGTGGTGGACTGACTGGATTATGCGTCAGACAGTGGGAAACGAGAAGACAGGGATATCCTGGACCGACCGACGTGAAGAACCTAGAAGACCTGGATTTCGCGCGTCGATGATTTATGTTTGATGTCACACACAATCGAAGACTTACAAGCGAGCGAAAACCGACAAACTGGTCGAAGAAGCAGACAGTGACCACAGGACTCCAGGTGAACATAGACAAGACGGAGGTGATGAAAATAACCAACCAACCAACAACTACAACAACAACAACAGCAACATCCAGCCAACAGCGTCAATCACCATCAACGGGAGGGATTTGAAAGAGGTTAGTTACTTCATTCATTCACTTATCTAGGGAGCATTGTCTCAGCTACAGCCAGTCGGAACGGACGAGGATGTCAAATCGAGCGAGAATCATCGGGAAGGCGAGAAACACATTTGTCAACCTGAAACAACCAATCTGGAACTCTTCGTCACTCAGCCAGCATCAACAACAAAATTCGGTTGGATTTTCAATACAAACAACGTCAATTCAGTCAGTTCTTCTATACGGATCGGATCAGAAGCTTGGCGGGCGGGTCACAAAGAATATTTCCAACAGGCTATTGCAGACATTTATCAACAACTGTCTTCGCCATTTACTGAATGAAGATCAGATGGCCGGGCTGGAAAGAATCACCAACAAGAAACGATGGCTGGGAACAAACAAAACAAGAACCAACCAATCGCCAACCAACAAATATGCAGGAGAAAGTGCAGATGGAGGAGGTCACTGGGTGACATCGCGCGCGCGTCAGGCCATTGCTCGAGTGGAGCAAGGCCGAAAGGGAAGCAGCGAGTGCGACGTCATTGCGAGGGTGACATGGAGGAGATCGTGTGAAGAGGATTTGAAAGAGTATGGACTAAGTGACATGGATGCAGGTGAAAAGTACAGCAGAAGGAAGACGAAAGTGGCAAGTGGAGACGTGGAGTTGAAGCCCTATGTTCCACTATGAACCCAAGGGAACAGTAATAATATTCAGTTAAGGATTACCAGAGCAGGTTTAGGGTATTAGAAAATTATTTTTTGTACACACAATAGGGGAGAGGGCTTAAGTTTACGAGTAGCTATAGCCTTAGCACATTTCAGTAAGATACATTGATTAGTTAGTAAAGAGTAACCAATCTCATATCACTAGTCCTTAATGCTGGCGTTGACTGAATTCTGTTAATATGGTCACCAAGATAAGTGACTTGGCATGATGGTGTACTAAGAATTAACCTTAGGCAGTTGAAATGAATTATGCAGAGTGATATTTTTAAGCATGAAAGGAGGGTGAGAGGGAATGAGTTTCGATTTCTAGAGGAATTCGCTCATCCTAGACTTTTTGTTTATTAGTATTTATCAGCATGGCTTATTAGTTTTTCAGGGGAAAGTTATGCTCCCATAAGAGACTGGATAGCGTGAAAGACAGCTGCCGGCGAGGAAACAGGCATAAAATTGACCCACACAAAAAACTTGGAATAAACGGGCTTCACCGATGATATATGTCTGATTTCCCACAAACTGGAAGATATGCAAGTGAAAAGAAATAAGTTGGCAGAAGAAGCATCCAGAGAAGATAGGACTTCAGGTGAACATAGAGAAAACACAGGTGATGAAGACTCCTGGTCAACACCAACAGCAACAACAACAACAACAGAAAACAATCTGGAAAATGCAATCTCCCTCACCTGTTTACTCGGGGAGCATCGTTTCAACTAAAGGCTGATGGAACTGATGAGGATGACAAAGTGAGGATTATCGGGAAAGCTTTCATTACTCTCAGGTCTTTGTGGAGATCAGCAGGACTCAGCATCAAAAATAAAATCCAACTTTTCAACTCCAATGTGAAGTCAGTGCGACTCACTATACGGATCAAAGACTTGACGCATCACGAAGGGTACTTCGACAAACTGCAGACCTTCATCAACAGCTGTCTCCGCTCAATACACAAGATCAGATGGCTGGTCAGTGAAGATCAGCAATAGTGAGGGATCTCTGGGGGTGAACCAACTCATCAGGAATCGATTTTGCAACAAACCCCACATTAAATTCCTGTTTTGATTATGTGTCCAAGGTTTCATTCAACCTCGTGTCTATAGAAAGGTTGCCATTCAAGATCAAAATTCGTGCTACTACTTTTCATCGTTCTTCATTCCTTTGCTTCCCTGTGGTGACTGACAGTATCTATCTCTGTATGGTTTAAACACTTACTGTTGTTTGTTAATTTATTTATTATACGAATTGAAGTATAATTGCGGGAAATACAAATTCCTAAATTCATCCCTCTCTGTGTTTTTGATTGATTTCCTGTAATTCGGTCATTGCGAAATACGACTACTACTATTACAAATAACTATTACATTTCCTTATGTAGCACAGGGCTTCAAGTTTTAACACTGAAGTTCCAGTAGCATGGACGCTGTTTAGTTTTACTTTATGGGGTGGCTAGTCTCACGCCCGGCCTTCTCTCTTTTTCAGGATAACTCCTGGTTAAACCAGGTTCACGAGTGTGCCAACTGGGACTGAAATCCGGACTACATGTATGGTTGTCGGACATTCTACCACTGAACTACCGATGCACAGTGCTGCTACTGGTCGATGATAATACCTCTGGTTATAGTCATATGGAATATGAATTCGAACTATCACTGAAGGACAATCCCTTAACTGCATGGTCTGGATAGTGATATAAAAAAAGAACTTGGACAGAGTGGCAGGATATAATTCTACCATAGAGTAAATTTGTTTGATAAAATCATAAAGTGATACAGCACAATTTAGTGCTCATAATCACATCAGGACGATATGATACGATTATGAGTAATAAATTGTGCTCGAAGCGTCATCACAGTAAATAATTACTGTATAACACTGTCAGACTTTATGGAAATAAAGTCTAGATATGAATATTAACCGTCGAATGTAGTCTGATTTTCGATTTCAGAGTAATCGGAAAGTTATCCATTTGTTTCTTGTTAAACGATTCAATCACACAATATTGAATATTGAACGAAAAATTAATTGTTTAAATAAATGAGATGAATAAGCGCTAGAATAAACTGAACTATTCACTTACCTAATTATACTTTGATTTACTGTTACAAGTTCATAATCATTAAGTATATTTCGAAAATAATTAAATTGAAATATATTTTTAGAATTTTTACAAAATATTGTTGTACGTTTTGTTGTATTTAATGCTTGATTATTATAGAAACCATTTTTTTGATACAATGAATACTGATTTAAATTTTCAACACCATCGCAAATCAGGAGTATATCAGCACGATTATCATATAGGAAGTTATTAGCAAATGGTTGTGTTAACAAACCATTAATATGTATCATAGTTCGATAACCGCAATCATTATGCGCTATGTAATTACGTAAGACTTGTAGTGTATTGAAAGGATTACCTATAAGAAAAATAAAAAAAACTTGTCGTTACGATGATTTTGTTATTTATTTATTATTATTTTTGATAAAAATAATGTTTATAGATTAAGAAATGGATGCTTAAGTGTGAGTGTCGGGGGGGCGGGGGTGTACTTTAGCTGAGATTTCAACGATATGAAGGTCATCGTCTTCAGACATCAAAAACTGACAGAAGTTAGAATTCACTAGCCACTGGATTCTGTCCGAGAGACTTAATGGTCAACATGCTTGTCTCACAATCTGAAAGTGCGGGATTCAATCCCTTGTACAGCCATGAGTGCAGACTTCTGAAGAGTCCTAGACCAGGGAGAAATAGCTGCCCATTACTCTGTGGTTATCAGTGTTTCTCCAGAGGATGATATGGAGTCTAACAGTCTAACGACCCCCAGTTTGAATAATCGCCACATGGACAGAAGTAAGAATGAAGCATTCTTGATGTAACCGATCGAATTCAACAGCAAAAAATTATGAAAATGCAGTTATATGTCCAAGTGTTAGTTTGTAGGGATTTGATTGGCTACAGGATTAGAATTCATGGGCCATTAGACCGGGTCCCATTGGCTCAATGGTATACGAGCTGGCTCACCTTGTAACCAGAAGGTCCTGGGTTCGAACCCCGGTGGGTGAGCACTGATAAAGATTCCCAAACTAGGACGAAACAGCTGTCCGGTACTCCCTGCAGGTTTTTCAGTGGTTCTCTAACCAATGTCAGCTCATGATGAAATCCAGCAATTATATGTGTTTAACTATAGACTTAGACATAACTGTGACTGTTACAGACTAGCAAGAACTCTAAAGCCGTCCAAATAAATACCCTAAGTATTTTATCAATTTACAGTTTAATTTCCAATATCTAAATAACACTAATTACCAGGTCTTTTCACGAACCAGCATCAGTCGGAGAGATCAGTGGAAACCAGCGAGCACTGGAGAGCTATCTCATCCTGTTGTGAAACTCTTCATTAGTGGACATTCCACACGACCACACAAGGGAATGAATCTAGGACCTTCAGGTTATGAGACCGAGCTTGTTAAGCAGTTAACCACTTGAGTTGGAATTCAGTGATCTGTGAAGTTTAACTTTGTCAATTTGTAATATAGCGCCGCCGTCACCAGTGCCTGCGACGAGCGTCCACTGCGTCTGGATATGGTAGACCCCTATTTAGTCAGGATTTCTTACTACAGCTTTAGGATTTCTATCCAATGATTTGGAGATTGATATCTAGGCTATGGAACTTTGGGGGATTTGGAATAATTTAATTTAATCGGTGCTTCATGGTTTCCGATGATCTTGTTTCTGTTTTCTGTCTTCTCTCAACCCCCCACCCCCTTTTTCATAGTTTGGAAGCATATAAACTGATGGTGACTCAAACTGAAAATTGTAATGCTTATATTCTGGATGCGTTCATCTCATAATGTTTTCTCTACCACCTTTCAAACACTGAAGTATGAAATGTCATTATTTATAACCATTGTGGTTTCAGGTAGTGGTGTGCAGCTGATGAGAACCTGTGAAGCAGAATGGTGATGTTATTTTATACTGTAAATCTGGTCTTTCTTTCTCAATCGATATTTATCAAGGGAACCAAATGTATGAAATGATCTTTCTGATTGATATTAGTTCGTAACGAGATCTAACAAATGAAATGAAATTAAGCTAGTTCGAATCTTCACAAATCCCATAACCTGAATCTAAATAATGCATTACTTATATCATTACGTGAACATACCAACGATACAATAAGCGTCGTTGTTAAGGTGTATTATAAACTCACTCATGAATATCTAACTGATATCGATTCATGATGATTCTATGTTCCATACCATATTGCCTATGATATTCTCCGGCGTTTCTTTTTATTATTGTTATGCGAATCGCGAATGCGTGAGCGTCTGAATCAACCGCTTTTTTCTTAATAGCTAGGTAGTTACTGGTTAGATTAATTAAGATTGTGCAACATGTACTACTTATGCGGATGAAAATAAGTAGTATGCAGTAAGAAATTGTTGGATAAAGTGATAACAGTGGAGTTTTTGAAGGAAGAAACAATAAATATCCTAGGAAAGTACAACGACAACTTATGCTAATAATGCCAATGCTACTGTTTGTCAAAATTGCGTTAAATGCAATATTGTAATGAAATAATAGACAGGATTTGTAACTCAGGTGGATGATTTGAAATTAATAGTGCTCTCTGAGCTGGTTGGTTTAGTTGCGGAGCTTTCGTCGTCCCCCTTCTGGACAACATCTTCAGCGTAGTATTTAGGATAAAGTGAAATGATTTAAATCTCTTCATGAGTGATATAATTGCGTCTCCCGGTTACAATATAAACAATTATGGACATCAATTTGATTGGGAAAATGTCAAAATCTTAGACAGAGGAAACACCAAAAGTGCCAGGGAATTCCTGGAAGCCTGGTACTCAAACGAATATGCAATTAACAAACATGTTAACATAAACCAAATATACCAACTAATAGAAAGTGAATCAGGTGACCAGAAAGTTTAAAATCCAATTCAATAGAAAATGATCAATACATGTGTAAAGATGGTTACCGGGAGACGCAATTATATCACACATGAAGAAATTTAAATCATTTCACTTTATGCTAAAAATTGCGCTGAAAGAGGATGTTGTCCAGATGGGGGACGACGAAAGCTCCGCAACTAAACCAACCAGCTCAGAGAACACTATCAATTGCAATATTGTAATATTTGTTTAGTAGTCAAGGTAGTAATCTCCCTAATTCTACACAATTGACCTGGTAGTTAAATTACTTTGTGCATGTACAAAACAAAAGTGATTGTGATTGATGTATAGACAAAACCTTATCATAAGGTCTTGTTTCATTCGTTCACAATGAATCACTTTATTTACTACTAGGCGTATTTCTTCCAGACAGATGAATTAATAAACAGGTCATCTTCAACGTTAATCTCTTCACCAACTGATGCCAATTAAAGAATCACTAAAATGCATGGAGCACTGGCTACATATTTCTTTCTAATCTGAGACTCATTTTCGGTTCACAACTACAAGTCAAACAGGAGTCGAACTGATGACTTCTAGATTTCGAGGATAATAAATTTACCATTCACTCATCCATTAAGATGAGAACTGAAGGTCAAAGGGATTAAGACTTCTATCATTTCACGATATAGTTCTCAGAGTCATTTAATGTTACCGACAAGAGTCTATTCTCACATCCAACTGTTTGGACCTAGCCAGTCACGGATTCTCACTGGTGAATGGAGGACTAATACTGAGATTCTTAAGGGACTCATGGGTAATTATATCTTCTGCACTGTATTATTTTGAGTTTGTAACTTCATTTAGGCAACCTACACTTTATGAGACGATGCTTGAGGTCAAAAAAATCGACTTCAACACTGTTATTCTCCATTAGCTGGGTGGTTTTACAAGGCATCTTCCACTGCGCTGAAATAAAAACCTACGTCTAAAATAAATAGATCAAACTGAACCAGTTTAACACTAACTGAGTAAATATCTAACTGGCCTGAGAATGTTTCAGGTGTCTTAAGTTTTGTTTTAACGAGTACTCATCGAACCAAGCCCGGAGGACATTTTGAGTCCTCCTTTTGTGCTGAAGTCACGTACATGCCCAAGTTTCATAGTTCAGTCATAGTAGTCAAATAAATTATCGATTCTTTTTCCCTAATAACTTTAACATTTCATTATACTTAACTGTATATTGCTCATAAGAGTGCATTTCTAAATAACTGAGCATTTCTGATTTGATGTTCGTTATCAGTGTTGACGCCTGAGGTTGCGCATTTATTAGGTGGGTAAATAGGCATATTGCGTTTCGGTAGGCTGGTATCAACAGAACAACTTTAACCAGTTTACTCATTAAACAACTACTGTTACAGGATTTCATCATGAGCTGACATTGGTTACAGAACCATTGAAAAACCTGCAGGGAGTACTGGACAGCTGTTTCGTCCTAGTTTGGGAATCTTCATCAGTGCTCACCCACCGGGGTTCGAACCCAGGACCTTCTGGTTACAAGGTGAGCCAGCTGGCATACCATTAAGCCAGTGGGATCCTATCCAATGGCCCATGAATTCTAACTACCGTTATTCTAGATGACATCTTGAGCAAAAAACTGAATCTATCAAGGGGATTCAAACCTGTGTTAGAAAGCGCTGCAGTCAGAGGAGTTAATCCTGATTTGTTTACTGTACTATATGCTTACAGTCAGATAATACTGATACGTGAAATTACTTCACAAAGACGGTCATTTTAAAGTAATAACCCAACTGGACATATAGTTGATAAAATACAATCCATGTTTAGACCTAAAGGATTCTGTTTGCTTTGTTAGGCTACTATATATATGGGTATATATGATGAAGCAAAAAAGAATTAGCATTTAGCAATTACCTTCAGCGTGTAGAACACCACCCAGTTGATTACGTACGATAACATTATTTGTCAGGTTAGCTCGAATACCATTGGCTAGTTGATTAGCTAATAGAACCATATAGACAACATCTCCAGAGTGTCTACTGATATATGAATTCTGTAGAACTAAATTACGTGAATTCATCAAATGTAATTTGACAGCTGGTGGGCCGGTTAAGTTTAAAACAACTACACCATTATCTTCTAGTCGTAAATTTGATAAATGTATGTCTGGTCCAAATTCACCGACGCTAGTGATCTGCACTCCCCCGCCTTGATTGTTAAGAAACTCACATGTATCTATTTCGTGCCTGATGAATCTATCTATTGTGTAGGATAAAAAAGATTAGTTGTAAAACTTGTTATTATTTTGTCTATACATTATAAGGTAGCTGATTTAATTTTTTAAGAGATGTTCAAATTATGACATTTATTTAAGCATGTTACTTGAAATGTAATTAAGTAGTATAAAATTAAACAAAAAAGTACATGTATACACATTTACAGTAATCTTGAAGTTTGGGAGAGCACTTATAGGAGGTAGAATATTGAAGAAGGAGATATATCGTTTGTATTCAGAAAATATTCAACTACAAAAGAAGATTAGATTATTGTTACGAAAGTTGATGTAGAAGCGTGAGTGCATTCTTTGAATACTCTACCTTGACTAGAAGATAGCTTGAAGGGAAAGAAAACCTGTAAATGTGAGATACTAATCTACGTCCTATCTTGTTTCCTTATAGAAAGAGGCTCCAATACTAAGTTTCGGATACGGAAGAATGAAAGGCTGCAGGAAAGACTGGCAAATTGTCAGAGTTAGGCATCCAAGCCTTGTAAATTTTGTTTCCTACTGAATACAGTGAATACACGCTTCTTGACAAGTCAAAGTTCTGATTTCATCCTCCTTCTTCCTGTTGTACTTGATTCCTGCAAGTTCATTGAACAAAACTTGGATGAAACCCAAACAGGTTTTAAAGAACCTGTTTGGAGTAATTTTCCTCTGATATAAGGAATATCGTTGAATAGCTAAACGGAAAAAAGTAAGCGCTCTGAAGGTTTTAAGACAAAACGTCGGTTAAAATTAGTTTAACAATTTGAAAGGATTAAATCGTAGTTTTATTAGGTAACCTATGGTTAGGTTGTGGTGAGTTGGGCTCTGCACTCAACAAATATAAGGAAAGGCTCTTGTCTTTGTTTTCTGGCATTATTTGAGTTAAGTTACAGAGATAATGACCTATGTGTGACCAAGGGTAATTTGTCACCAAGCTAAGCAAATTCATCAGTTCTCATTTCATTAACAGTGGACTGAATAGTTTCCTGTTATCTCACTGACAATTTTAAAACTTTTCCTCACTGACTTTACTATTATTATTGTTCTCTTGGGTTTCATGTAGAAAATAAAGTTTCAACGGCACCTTGCTATTCCACCCTTTTCTCTGCATCCCACTGTTGTTGGCTACACGAGTGCCCATTAGCTCTCATTTAGTCCTTACGCAGTCTATCCCATATAACCACTGGAACCACCGTAAACTCATTGTTTTCCATTCGAGTTTCGCTCAGTGGTCTCATCAGTGCATATCCTATCCATGTTCATTACCTCTTACGTATTTATTGGGTAACAGGTCCTTGGTTAGTTTTTCACCAGACTTCATTGTTGCTTAACCTTTCCCAACAGCAATCTGATCTTCAGTATCGAGCAAGTAAAGTCAGGCGTTGATGAAAGTCTGCAATTTGTTGTAAATACTTTAGGTGACGTGTGCTGCATACCTTTGAACCACATAGAAGCACTGACTAGCCGAACATCTACTGCTGAGTGCAGTAGATGTTCACTTTGATTTCAGATTTATGAAGGTTTGTCTTGCCTTTGTGATCTTGATTGGCTTTGAAATTCTCATCTTTCCTGTCTACTGCCTTCTCCCAGTTAAATGAAAGAGGTGAATTCCTTCAGATTTTGCCTACTGATAGTGGTTGATGCTCGTTGTCGTTGGTTGAATATTTTCATCGCTATACAATTTACAAGTTCATCTTATTATTATTAGTAATAATTTTTTTTCATTCTTTTAATTTCCCAGTGGAACATAGGGGGCTTCAAGCTAAAGATCTGAAGTTTCGGTAGCAGTGGCGTTTATTTTTACGGGATAGGGTTGCTAGCCTCATGCCCAACCTTCCCTCCTTACTAGTCTTATTGCTGGCTTAGTGAGGTAAAGGAATGCATCGGTTGGGAATTGAACCCCGAACCACGTGAGGCATGGTTGGCGACCATCCTACTGTTGTGTTTATTATTATTATTGTTCCCTTTGGTTCCTAATGGAACATAGGGCTTCGACTCCACGTCTCCACTTGCCACTTCTGTCTTCCTTCTGCTGTACTTTTCACCTGCATCCATTTTACTCCATACTCTTTCAACTCCTCTTCACACAATCTCCTCCATGTCACCCTCGCACTGACGTCCCACTCGCCGCTTCCCTTTCGGCGTTCCACTCGAAAAATGGCCTGACGCGCGCGCGATGTCACCAAGCGACCTCCTCAGTGAGCGAGTGTCCAATCCATCTGCACTTTCTCCTGCATATTTGTTGGGCGATTGATTGGTTCTTGTTTTGTTTGTTCCCAGCCATCGTTTCTTGTTGGCGATTCTTTCCAGCCAGGCCGGCCATCTGATCTTCAGTATAGAGCGAAGACAGTTGTTGATAAAGGTCTGCAATAGCCAGCCTGTTGGAAATATTATTTGATCCGTATAGAAGAACTGACTGAATTGACGTTGTTTGCATTGAAAATCCAACTGAATTTTGTTGTTGATGCTGGCTGAGTGACGAAGAGTTCCAGATTGGTTGTTTCAGGTTGACGAATGTGTTTCTCGCCTTCCCGATGATTCTCGCTCGATTTGACATTCTCGTCCGTTCCGACTGGCTGTAGTTGAGACAATGCTCCCTAGATAAGTGAATGAATGAAGTAACTAACCTCTTTGAAATCCCTCCCGTTGATGGTGATTGACGCTGTTGGCTGGATGTTGCTGTTGTAGTTGTTGTTGGTTGGTTGGTTGGTTATTTTCATCACCTCCGTCTTGTCTATGTTCACCTGGGGTCCTGTGGTCACTGTCTGCTTCTTCGACCAGTTTGTCGGTTTTTGCTCGCTTGTAAGTCTTCGATTGTGTGTGACATCAAACATAAATCATCGACGCGCGAAATCCAGGTCTTCTAGGTTCTTCACGTCGGCCGGTCCAGGATATCAATCCCTGTCTTCTCGTTTCCCACTCACTGTCTGACGCATAATCCAGTCAGTCCACCACAATTAGGAATATCATCGTGGGTGATAATAAGCACTCTTGTCTGACTCCTGTGTTTACTCGAAATGCCTCGCTGAGTTTTCCGTTGTGGATCACTTGACATGTGCCGTTGTCACACAACCAGCTGTTGAATAAGGTTGATGAATGTTTAGGGTACGCCGTAGTACTTGAGTAGTTTCCAAATTACTTGGCGTCAACGGTGTCTGTCAAAGGCCATGTCATAGTCTATAAAGTTTTACTACCGACGCATAATTAGTAATAATAGTTAATAAATAATACAATTAAAAATAGCTTTACATATTAGGGAAACTTACTCATTTCGTGCTGTTTACGTCCAGTTGATAATGGTAGACTAACAATTTCAGCAATAAATCCATATTTGTCACTAGCTGAACTAGCGTGTACATGGACACTAAGCTCATCACTAATCGGTGATGTAATAAATGTAAATCTTTTGCTAACTGGTATATTTTCATTGAGGAATATATCTGATGTTAATGCTGCAATCATTTGATTCTTGTTAAAATTTACTCCATTGTATAGTTGTATAACATTCTAGTGATTATAAAATAAACAAATGAAATAATTTAATTGATAAAGGTGAATAAAATTAAGGTTATTTAAAATTCAGTTTACAAGCCTACGTTACTGAGTTAAGAAAACTGACTTATTGTTTTAATGGTTTATAGAGTCAGTCACAATAGCTTCTTCTAAAGTATTTCCTACTGCAACTTCATATTTAAAGGCTGTATTCATTTTTTCGTAATTTTTCGGGTCACTGTAGGTAATTAACTTGTGAAAGAGTGGAAAGCTTCAGTGATAGAGTATATTTATTTGTATGTTTCAACTAACTATGCAATTATTATACATCTTTCTCCTAGACTGTATATCATTATTTTGATATTTGCATGTCATAGATGCCTGCGTTCTACATCCCGTAAGAAGTGGTATAACAAAGTGAGCAATATTCAGGTTAGGGATCGGTCGAGTGCTAGATAAGGAGGGGGAAATCAATAAATAGACGAGGCTGTGAAAGTTACATCGTTCGAGATGGTTAGGACATCTGTTAAGCATGCATGTCTAGCCATCGCCTTCCTCGACAATCGGCAATGTTAGCTGACATAGGGTCAGGTTGGAAAAGAGCTAGCCAGTGGTGGTCAAACCAAAACATCAGTCAATGAAATTCACAACAGTTAGTTTAAGCCAGACACGTTGGAAGGTGTAGACTTCCTGGTTAAGGTCCTCGGGTGGGTAAACACCAATGGCTGGATACAATTGGTGATGTGGCTCAAAATCGTTTTTAACGACTGGTGCAGATGCATCCACTCTTTGTGACTTGTAATACCCAATAAAACTATATTGTTCTTCGATGTTAATATCCTTTTTGCCTCATATCTCTGTTTACTGTCTCTGTTTTGCATTTCTTTTTACTTTCTTCCCTTGTTTTGTGTACTAAGTGAAGTGTGACGACTCGAACTACTGCACATCGGTGCAAAGTTCTACATTAAAACCAGTCAGCTATATCATGTGTTAACTTGATTCTTATTATTTGTCTTTGTCAGTGTTTGATCTCTAATTGTAATGCTACTCTTTGTAATTGTGCTGTGTGTGTTTTGTGCTAATGCGTTGTTTTGTGATGTGATTTCGTTTGAGTGAATCAGGATCATTTTGACCTTTGACTGTCTAAGGGAATTGTCGGTATGTGATTCTTGTGGACAGAGTCTACGATCCCACATTGTTGGGAATATTCTACTTGATTCTAAGTACTTGTTTCGTACTTAAAAAGCAACATTGTCTGCATAGCTTCCTAACGGCACTGTTAAGATAATATTGAGTTTTCAATATGATTATTGTTGAAAATAACCATAGATTCCAGCAATGAATAGTCGTCTTTTTGTTGTCTTTGAAGCGTTTTGTGATTGTGTGTGTGTGTGTGTGCCTCAAAGCAGTTTTTTTTAACTATACAGTAGGATGTAGAGATCGGTTTCCTGCGTTTTCGTTTTGATCGTAACATTGGGATGGCGTTTCAGTGGTAAAAGCAACACACGAGGTTCGAGCCCACGCCGACGCACACCTGATATCTATAGTCGGCCTGCGAATTCTCGGCTACCGATATCCACGCTGAAAATTCCATACTTGTACCAAAAATACGGTGTGGAGTCAAGCCGTAATAAACAAAAATGTCAGTGAAAATAGGATTGGTGAAATGTTTAAGTGACAGAGCACGAAAACTAAGTAGAACCAAGGAAAATCTAAGACAGGAAGTAATACATTTAAAAGAAGCCTTGAAACATAATAACTTTCCGGATAAGTTAGTCAGGAAATACGTAAAGAAATGTAAAAATAAAATAAATAATGATAGTAGCGATAATAATAATGGTAATATTAACGACGACATGCATGTCAAACATGCGCAAGACAACACCAACAATCGTGAATCTAAATCATCATTAGTAATTCCATACAAGGAAGGAACCTCGGAAACCTTACGCAGAATTCTTAACAAGGAAGGAATAAAAGTGGCCGGTATTCAAAACTCCAAACTCAATTAGAAACAAGCTTTGTCGGTTAAAGGATCCATCCTGTGGAGCCTTTATAACGAAACAATTTAGTTCATCGAATACCCTGCCTGTGATGATTGTCAGGTCAAATACATAGGTCAAACTAGTAGAACAGGGGCAGTCAGACTAGCCGAACACAGAAACCTAGCAGCAAAATCTAGATTGGTTGACTCAAATAAGATAAGAAATCTAGAGAATAATTCAGCTGTAGATACCACTGACTATATGCAATTACACACAACCATACAATAGGATGGACGGAATAAGATGACAGTTTTAATATCTAATGTCACAGGGTATAGGGAGAGATTGATAACAGAAGCTTTGTTTATCGAATCAACTGCAAATACATGTAACAGGAATGATTCCACACTTGTCCCAGATATCTGGAAGATTCTACTACCCCTACGACAAATAGGTGAGGACAAAAGAAACTATAAAGCTCAAGTTTCAAAGTCGTGTGATTACAGTTGATATGATTATGAACAATGTATTTTGTTCGAAACCTTGTCATCCAGTAAATAATACTGTGTCACTGTGTGATACATCTAATAAACAAACTAATATGGAACTAACTAAGGAGTTTCAAATAAGACGAAACATATTCTGTGTTCCCTTGCTTCTGATTTAGGCAGTGTAATGCAGACTGAAACGTTTTTATTTATTTAAGTGCACTATTTATGTATTCAACAATCTATTTATTTCTGTGGTGGTCACTAGTGCCCGACCACAGGATGAAGTTGCCTGAAGTTTTTGTTGAGCTCTTGTGATTTGGGTGTGAGGACAAATACTCGTCAATAATATTGACTGGCTGTAGAGCCATATACCGCCAATTAGTAGAAATAGAACTGACGGGCCATTGCACTCCATCCCAGAAGCCTAATGGTCAACAAGTATGCCTTATAAGCTGAAGATCCTGAGTTCGGTCCCTAGTGAGATCATGGGTGTGTACAGATGATGAGTCTTGGATGGGGAAGAAACAGTTATCTAGTATTCCCTGGTTTTCAGTGGTTCTCTAACTGAATACAATTCATGGCCAATGTTGAAATCAACTAGATTCCTGTAAACCAACATTCGAAAATATCTGTTAGTCAGTTTAATTTGAAAGAATGTTGGAAGAAATTTTAAGCTAATCGAATGACAAAAATCTATAAAGCCAGTGATTTTTAATTGCATCAAAAGATCAGTTTTCATTTATCCTTATAACATTACACTTCTGTCCACTCGCTTTCTTCTTATTGTTTTAACACGTTTTATTTTTAGTTGAGGTAATCTTTCTATGTTCATGGTCACAAAAAGCGTTTCCTACAGGCTACTAGAGACTTATATTAGAACCTGCCTTCGCTGACTCTGTACTGAAGACCAGAAGGCTGTCTCGAAAGAATAAGCAACAAGAAACTATGGCAAGGAGCCAACCAGGAATCCAATCAACCGACAAATATGCAGAAAGAAATGGAGGTGGATTAGAAACACACTGAGGAAACCGTTAAGTGATATCACTGACTAGGTAGGCCCTTGAGTGTGTCCCTAGGCCTGGGTCCAAGGCTGACATAAAGGAGATAGTATGAGAAGAATGTAAAGGCTTATTAACAATCAAGCAGTCGCACAAAGAAGCCTTCAGAGAACACACTGAAATGACTATGCTCTGTTGAAGTTCAATGAAGTTCAACCTAAGAGAGTAATGTTAATAATAATAATAATAATAAACAAACGTATACCTTAATCAGCGGGTCATTATAAAAATTAACAGCTAAAAATCTCCATGCCAATCGACGTCCAGGTATTGCCGAACGAAATACTTTTGTACATGTACGTATACCATTAGACCATGATGATGACGATGAGTATTTAAAATGAATAAGAATCCTGTCGGGTACAGAGAGGGCTTTCTCACTGGAACACATTGAAATTAAACCTGCTATGTTGTGTTCTTCTTCACTTTGAATTGGATAAACAAATAATGGTTGACGTGATGCATCTTCTATCTTTTTATGAAATAATTCTCCAGATAATGGTTGTGGTAATGGGAGCAAGGAATTCTGTTCTGGTGGTAAGATTGATGGATTATTGTAGAATGACTAAAAAGGAGAGAAGAGTATTTGTGTTAAGAAGAGAGTAAAAGTTTGCGATGGCTTTGAAATTATTATAAGCGGATAACTCTAAGACTCATGTAGACTGAGTAATGATAAATAAACAATCAAGACCAAGTTTCTCGAAGTTTACAGAGACTGTAGCTATCAAATGATTAAAACATGACTTATGTATTCAAATAGAATCTGTTGTGGATTTTTCTGTGTCTTGGTAACTCGTCTTCTAACCTTAACTGGTTATATCAGCTCTCTTTTACTCAAAATAATAGAGACAATTTATAGCTCAGGTGGATGATTTGGAATTAGCTTGTAACAACAGAAGGCAAGACACGGAAGCAAAATTATAGTTTTCATTAATCAAATCGCTGTTTATATATTTAGACTTTATATTGTTTAACCAATCGCTGAGCGTGTGATTTCAGTTTACATAGAACGACATGAAATGGAATGCTGAAATGAACTGTGGAATATGTGAGAATCATATTCCGTTGGCACACAGTGTCTGTACCACACCACCACAAGTTGTGTTCTCTGAGGAGCTGGTTGGTTTAATTGAGAAGCTTTCGTTGTCCTTCTGGACAACATCCCCTTTCAGCTCAAGTGTCATCATGAAATGATTATTATCATTATTATTGTTCCCTTGGGTTCCTAGTGGAACATACGGCTTCGACTCCGCGTCTCCACTTGCCACTTCTATCTTCCTTCTGCTGTACTTTTCACCTCCATCCATGTCACTTAGTCCATACTCTTTCAACTCCTCTTCACACGATCTCCTCCATGTCACCCTCGCACTGACATCCCACTCGCCGCTTCCCTTTCGGCTTCCACTCGAGGGCCTGACGCGCGATGTCACCAAGCGGCCTCCTCAGCGACGAGTGTTCAATCCATCTGCACTTTCTCCTGCATATTTGTTGGTTGGCGATTGATTGGTTCTTGTTTTGTTTGTTTCCAGCCATAGTTTCTTGTTGGTGATTCTTTCCAGCCAGGCCGACCATATGATCTTCAGTATAGAGCGAAGACAGTTGTTGATAAATGTCTGCAATAGCCAGCCTGTTGGAAATATTATATGATCCGTATAGAAGAACTGACTGAATTGACGTTGTTTGTATTGAAAATCCAACCGAATTTTGTTGTTGATGCTGGCTGAGTGATGAAGATTTCCAGATTGGTTGTTTCAGGTTGATGAATGTGTTTCTCACCTTCCCGATGATTCTCGCTCGATTTGACATGCTCGTCCGTTCCGACTGGCTGTAGTTGAGACAATGCTCCCTAGATAAGTGAATGAATGAAGTAACTAACCTCTTTGAAATCCCTCCCGTTGATGGTGATTGACGCTGTTGGCTGGATGTTGCTGTTGTTGTAGTTGTTGGTTGGTTGGTTGGTTATTTTCATCACCTCCGTCTTGTCTATGTTCACCTGGGGTCCTGTGGTCACTGTCTGCTTCTTCGACCAGTTTGTCGGTTTTCGCTCGCTTGTAAGTCTTCGATTGTGTGTGACATAAAACATACATCATGAAATGAACTGATTTAAATTCTCCATGAATGATAGAACTTGGAATCTGAACTTTCTTGTCACGTGATTTACGTTTTATTAGTTGGTAAATATGATTTATATTAATAAATTTGTTAATTGAAATTTTAAAAACAGAGGAAACACCGAAAGTGCCAGAGAATTCCTAGAAGCCCAGAACTCAATTTAATCGGCGGTTAGTAAACACATCATTACAGACCAAATTTACCAACTAATAAAAAGTAAATCACCTGACAAGAAATTTCAAATTCCAAGTCAATAAAAAAAGATCAATACAGATGTAAATCGACTACCAGTCACGAAGATGGTCGCCAGGAGACACAGTTCTATCGTTCATGGAGAATCCAAATCAGTTCATTGTATGCTAAAACAGCGTTGAAAGGGGATGTTGTCCAGATGGACCGCGAAAGCTTCGCAATTAAGCCAACCAGCTCCTTAGAGAACACAACTAATTTAAATCTCTCCTAATTAGTTACATTGTCATTTAATAAACGCCATGGTTCATATATTTTATATCTAGCCCCAATTCCTTATCTTATCCCATTTATGTTTTAGCAATTTTCTAATGAATTACTTAATATTACAATCTGTGCATCTCAGTATTGTGTTGTTACCTTTGCTTCCTATTTTTTGTTTGATTCGAGGAACTTCGATGACACTACGCGTATAAGTACATCAATATTTTATATTTTACCAACTTAAAATTTCGATTCATCCACAAATACTATGATCCTTCTTAAATATTCGTTTCATACTTGAAGGACAGAAAGAAGGGCATATCTACGATTTTCTGAACATGTACGGAAAAGCTGATGTCCAAAGGGAACAAATGCTATAAACAGTGCCATTGTTAGACATCTCCTCGACACGGGTCATTAGGTGGTCGTCGAAAAGTCGTTCAAAATTATCAATAGGCAAAAGAGCTCAATTCTCCTTAAGTCTGCTGAAGCCATTTTCATCAAGCGCCTGAAACCTGATTAATGCGTCCAGAAAGAAGAGGTTATCAATCTTTCTTTGCCGTGGTAACTGGATATTTTTCATTTCTCTTTCATCCGAATGCGAAATGCTGAAAAGTTTCCATTGTGTATGATTATTATTGTTCGGGATAGTGTTTAATATTACATATATGTATGTATATATTATTACTGTATGCAAATATTGATCGATTGATTTTTGTTTAAAATGAACTCTTTGCAAGTATGTTAAAATTGTTTTTGTAGATATATTTAATAATGTCTTTGCCCTGTAAGCAGCTGACGAGAAGGCAACGAGATAAAAGATGGTACCATTTCATTCTGCTAAAACTGTAGTTTTTGGTTTGTTCGAACTAAACTATGTTTAAACTGTTACAGAAGTGATGTTACTGTTGTCAGCTCATGATGAAATCCCCCAACCAATGTAACAGAACTATTAAATTTCATTATTTAGGTTGTTTGCAAGTGATACAATTCCGTTTCGTCCTGCGCCATGCGTTATCATTGCTATGTTCAAAGTCACTTATGAAGAATACGTGCATAAAAGTTAATCCTAAGTTCTAACGAATAAATGAGATCATCTTTGTGCTTTTAAAAGACAGTAAACTGGTTAGGCTTCTCGATCATACCTGATCATACCTGAATCAAGTTCGTAATTTGCAAGTTACACAGTTCCAGGTGAAATTTCATCACCACATTGGGTGGTATCTACCTTCTCATATCGCTGATGCAGACTTTCAGGAACATCTGCCTTCGATTGCTCAATACTGAAGATCAAATGGCTGTTTGAAAAAGATAAACACAACAGTGAACTCTTGGAGTGAACCTAACAAGAACCTATCGACCACCAGATATTCAGAAGAAAATGGAGATAGATTGGATACGTGCTGAAGAGAACTACTTGTGTGTGACATCACTCTCCAATCCACAGCTCGAGTGGAACCCTAATGGGGAATGACGATTTGTAGAGTGCACTCAATTGTGATATAGAGATCGTGTGAGGAGAGGAAATGAAAAGTTATGCACAGTTATGGAGTCAGCTAAAATAGGTTGGATGGAACAGGATGTACTGCTGAAGCCCTATGCTCCATTTGTAACCCAAAGGAATAATAATAATGCGTCGGTGGCACAGTGGTTAGGACTCTCGCCGACCATGCAAATGGTCTGAGGTTCGAGCCCACGCCGACGCACACCTGATATCTATGGTCGGCCTGCGAATTCTGGGCTACCGATATCCACGCTGAAAATTCCATACTTGTACCGAAAATACGGTGTGGAGTAAAGCTGTAATAAAAAAATAAACACAATTATAATGTTCAATAAATAAATAAATCAATAAATTTTTTTAAATAAATATTCATTTCAAAATAAACAATTACTTTAGAATCTTCTGTACCAATTGTAACTGGATCCGTAGAATCACCATTTAGCACAGTTAGGCCTAATCCATAACCAAGACAACCATTTACCGTACTGTTAGTAACTTTTATTGGACCATTGGGTGTAATAAATTCAAAACCAGAGGCAAGACAATTGTTTATTCGAATGAATGAAAGTCTGTTTATAGAGAGGAAAGAAATGAGGAGAATTATACAAGTTATTAAAAATGTATGTTTTTACGAAAGAAATATATTTGCCTTACGACTGGTACATAGGGCTTTGAGCTTGAGACCTTGACGTTTTAGTAGTGGTGGTGTGGGTTTTCAACAAAGTGGATTTACTAGTCTCATATTCAACTTTCCCCCAGTGTGTCGACTGGGAATCCAACGCGGATCAAGTGAATAGTTGACGAGTAATCTACCATTGAACCACTGACTTATATATTTGACTAATCTCCGTACTAAAATCACAAAACTTAGCTCCTAGAGATAACACTTCAAGTGGTAGTTTGTCAAGAGTCACGCTGGAAAAGTTATAGACGTACCTTTCTGGATTAGCAGGAAATCTACATGAAAGGCTTAGAAAGCCGAACTCCAATGTAGATTTCCTGCTAATCCAGAAAGGTACGTCTATAACTTTTCCAGCGTGACTCTTGACAAACTACAACTTGAAGCATTATCTCTAGGACCTAAGTTTTGCGATTTTCGTACTGAGATTAGTCAGATTGAAACCGATGTACAGTTGGAGAACTTCTATATGCAAACAGATATATTTATTATTTTATTCCTTTACGTTCCCAGTGAACACTAGGGTTGAAGAGAGGGCTTTGAAGTTTCGGTAGCACTGGGATTTATTTTGGCGGGATGGAGTTGCCAGCCTCATGTCCAACCTTCCCTCTTCACCAGTCTTATTACTGGCTTAGGGACGGAAAGGAGTGCGTCATCCGGGTGTCGAACTGCGGGCCATATACGTGATTGGCGAGATTTCCGCCGCTGTGCCACCGACGCCCTGCGCAGATATATGGGAAAACACAATGAATATAGAAATAGAGATTCACTTCAGTAATTGTGATATTTTAATATGACATCCAGACTGATGTAGACTGACGCATAAACTACTTTTTGGTGATCTAATAGAACTGCCCACCTGATATAGGATACTTTATAGAGAGTAAACCTACCACGAAGTCTTTAGACTATGACTTAACAAGTTGTGGGTGTTTCGTCGATAGTGAAGATACACCCTGATATAAATTGGGAGTGGACAAAATACATGCAATTTAAATGTATGCTGTACCATCTCGTTATGAAAACGACTGTTTTATTACAAATAATATGTTTATGTGTGGTAGGGAATTCTCAGTATGCCTTACAACTAAATATGGTTCAGTCACAGGAATTCTTCTATCACCTACGCCATTTTGTGTATGGCAGAGGCGTTAGAAATTCGTCAGTGCAACCCCAAACTCTGTATACAGAAAAAGTTTGTCCAGTCTCTTATTCTACTATGGTCTTAACCTCTTAACCAGTCGTTCCCTGTAAAAAAATGTTATTGATTTTCAGTTTAGTTTGCTCTTACTTTAATAATAAATTTACTATTATCTCTCTCATATGTTCCTTTTGTACATTTTCACACCCTCTTTATACTTGTTAAATTGACACGCAACCACCTCTCACTCAATAACAATTTTAACCTTATCAAAATTTTAACGCCTTCTTTCTTTGTCCCGTTGAGTACCACGTAATTTACAACTTTTATTTTTTATTCAAGTGTTGGTTTGTAGGGATCTGATTGGCTTCAGGATTTCATAATGAGTTGACATTAGTTACAGAACCATTGGAAAACCACCAAGGAGTACTGGAAAGCTGTTTCGTCCTAGTTGGGGACTCTTTTTTTTCTACTTCTAAAGCAGTTTCTGAGTAATTATATCAATTATGTCACCCCCCCTTTTACTCACTAATAGACTATTATACATTTTCGGTAGATATAAATACGACTCTACAGCCTCTGAAGATGACTTCGTCGATAACGAAAATTTTCTTCCCTGAATTTGTCTTTTATTTTCTTCAAGACTCAATAGGTATTTACGATATTTTTCGTAAATTTCTTTCAAAATATACATAGTGGGAAGGATAAAGATCATTTGAAAGTACGCGTGAGTATAGAAAGTGAACTAACTATAATATAAAATAGAGGTAACCCGAGGCATTATTCTAGGTAAGAAATTATGTAGCTCAAGAGTTTAAAAACAGTACTGGCTAAGCGACATGTATATCTATATATATAAATATATACAGGAAATACTATCTGATTCGGTATTGCTTTAATATTAAAACCGAAAATTTTTTTCCCTTCACGTTCCCCAGTGGAACATAGGGCTTCAACCTAGTGGCTTGAAGTTTATGTAGCACTGTTTATTTTACAGGATAGGGTTGCTAGCCTCATGTCCAACCTTTCCTCTTTACCAGCATTCTTTCTGGCTTAGCGAGGCAAAGGGGTGCGTCGGTGGCCAGGGATCGAACCCCGGACCATGTGGATGGTCGGCAAGCATCCTAACCGCCATGCCACCGATGCGTTCTCTGAGTTAAATGGTTCAGTTACCAAGGTTTAATTATCTTTCTAGACATCATCTTCAGCGATAACTTCAGAGTAAAGTCAGCTTTTGTAGAGTTCGCCATGAATATATTGGTCATATATCCTTATGAACTTTAGTGTGATCAGTTGCCTCTGAAGAATTGCTTATCCTCTTGCTCACTTTTAGCGATAGTGATTATTTTGTTAACTTAGAATATGACCTTTAGTCTATAAGAGTTATTTTTCATTGCTTGATACGTCTGATATGTATATCAATATGTTAATTGACTGCAGATCTATTTGAGTAACAGACTCCTAGAAGTTCCCTGATATTCTAGATGTTCATCAAGAGAGATGATTATTAAATTCATGAGGAATTCTAAAAGATCATCTCATCTTGAAGTTACCACTGACGACGTTGTTTAGCAAGACAATGGAAGCTTACTGATTAATCTGCCTAGTTGAGGGAAAAAAGCTACACCAAAATTATCTTCTCTGTTGATAAGGGTTGTTCATATCGCGTCGGTGGCACAGCGGTAGAAATTTCGCCAACCACATCTCACGTGGCTTGGGGTTCGATTCCCTGTCAATGCATTCCTTCACCTCACTAAGCCAGTTATAAGACTGGTGAAGAGGGAAGGTTGGACATGAGGCTAGCAACCCCATCCTGTAGAAATAATTACCACTGCTACCGAAACTCCAAAGCTCTCTCACGAAGCCCTGTGTTCCACTGGGAACGTGAAGGAATAAGAAAATGTCGCTAACAGTCCACGTATAGTCCTTTCTCAGGTTTTTATTCAGCATACTTGATTTAGTGACTTTGATCAAAGAAATCTTTTTCTGTGCAACAAAGCAAACAACAAACAGAAGACATTTTATTGAATTTGAGATTTTCCCGTCGATTGATTGGACCGAAGTGCTTGGTCTTAGGTTGACATGTTAACTTCTTGTGCAGATGCTTTGAAACTGGGGGTACTCGGTTCGAGCCACAGTGGGAACATCATCACCCACTGAGAAATGCAGGTACATCCAGGATGAAATGCGCATCCTGGATTCCACTGCTAGTCACCATCCACCAATTAAATACTAAACAGAAGACATAATGATAAGTTCGATTCGAAAGTGTTTTCTGAATTAATGCTGTTTTTGTCATATGCCTTAAAGACACTTGGAAATTAAATTCAGAAATCGATCATCGAAAGCTGTACCAAAAAAATAAGTGGCTCGAAGAACCTATTTGTAACTCAAAAATCAAATCCTGAATTAAAGACTTATTTTCAACTTGTGGAAGATACTCATTAGGACGTTCAAGGAAAAAGAACAATAAGCTCAGCAAACAGATATCTTTTCGATGATTTCATCGACAAAAGCTATACAGTCGCATTCCCGCAAATAAGTTGTTCACACAGTTACAATCATTATTTGATTCAACACAGCAACCAAAGGAGATTAACGGTGATAATAATCTTCAGCTTGATATAAAAGTTTGATGACGAGAATGTAGATCATAGGTGGCTTAGAGACAAACCTTCACGGGATTACGTAATATGAAGAATAGTTTTTAGGGTAGACAGGTGTGAACGGGGTGACCATGGAAACAAATGTAACGAATAATTTTGATAAGTGAAAATGAAGAGGCGGAAAACGAAAACTAAGGAGTCCCGCCGAACTAGATCCATAGTGACTGTAGATGTTGAACTAGTATCCTTTGAATATATAGCTCTAGCTTTTCAATGCAACATGGCGAGGGCTTCTGCAGTACAAAGAATCCGATAACATGCTGATTTTAGCAGATTTTTGTCTACTTTGTAAATGACTTTGAATGATGAGTTAGTTGAGATGCTGTGACAAGTGTTGACAATGTTTTCAAAAAATCTATCAAAGTTGATGTATTTCCAGCTTCTTCGTGCCTTGGAACTAGAATGTTTCAAATCCAATCTAGTGGATTGTTGTTGTCAGTACAAAAACCTCAAATGCGACAGTAAACGTTTTTTGACAAAGGAGCACAAAGAAGAACTAAAAATACTGATTAATGATGAGAGATTGATAATCACAGAGCCTGATAAAGGATCAGGAGTAGTCCTCCTTGATAGAAATGGTGGATATATTAAAAAGATGAATGACATATTGAAGGACACACAGAAGTTTCAAAAACTTGAGGAGAAGAAAGATTTCAATAACAAAGTAGAGAATGAATTAACCAGACGTTTGAAGAAACTAAGGGAGGAGCAGATATTTTTTGAAAGTTTATATGAAGAAATCACACCAACTGGCATGTATACGCCAAGATTACACGGCCTAAAGTGCATAAACCGGGGGTACTGTTAAGACCAATAATTGACATGCGAAATTCGCCCTGCCATGCTCTATCTAGATGGTTAGTAAATATTCTCAAACCTTTGCATGAGAAGATAGTGAAATATAGCGTCAAGGATGTATTTGAATTCGTAGACAAAATAAAAAGATATTAATATCAAGGACAAGACCATGATATCTCTGGACATAACATCTTTATTCACCAATTTACCTTTAGTAGAAACAGTTAACTACATATGTGAACAAGTGAATAACCAGTCGATAAACATTGGCATCCGTACTGAAAT